TCAAGGCTTCTGCTCCCCACATTCGTGCCAAGATCCTTGACTGCCTCAGGTATGTTCCAGCGGGTTCCTCTGCGGCATCTACCCATCAGCAGACTTTGCTGCCATGCCTGGGTGCTGTCTCTGACCAGGCACAGCCACAACAGCATAGCTACTGCCACCTAGGTTTCCTGGCTTGGGACACAGGCAGAGAATCCCTGCAGGGGCAGAGTCACCACAGAGGATGCCTGCTGAGGCATGGCCCACTGGGGCTGTGGGCCAGGGCTGACCCCAGACCAGTAAAACCCAGGTGAGCCACAGGCACCTGACTCTTACCTGTATGGGCTGCCCAAAGCCACAGAGGCAAGGCCACCTATAGCCTAGGGGCCCAGCCCCTACCTGGCAAAACTGTGGGGCTGGGACCCACCCCAGTGGGCCTAGAAGGGGTCTGCAACCCCCGTAGGCCTGGGGGGCAGAGCGCAGAGCCAAACAAGACTATTATCCAGCTTTAGTGTTTAGACTCGCTCTGGACCTGACGCTCCTTTCTTTCTTCTCCCTGTGGAGGGGGAGTGTCAGGCCTGTGCCTGTCCCACCGTTGTATTTTGGAAACACATAGCAACTTTTGATTTCACAGGTTCACAGTGGGAAGAGAGTTGGCCTCAGGATGAATCCTCCCTTCAGTCTCACTCATATCTAATTTAGGTGATACTTAGACATAACTTTGGATTTTTGAGTTGACGCTGAAAGGAGTTAAGACTTTTGGGAGTTGTTGTGAATGGGATGAATGTATTTTTCATGTGAAAGGAATGTGAATTTTGGGGCCCAGATGGAATGCTGTAGAATGGATATTTGTGTCGGGTCAAATTCATATCGAAACCTAACCCCTAATGTGATGGTATTAGGAGGTGGAGCCTTTGGGTGGTGATTAATTCATAAAGACAGCCTTTATGAACGGGATCAGCATCCTTATAAAAGAGGTTCCAGAGTGGTGGTACTCTTATTATCCCCAGATAATAATAATATCCAGAGTGGTTAACTTTTTTGCCTAGTAAAAAGTGGTAGAGCTGTCTGACTGGAAATTGTCTATAACCATTCATACCTATGGCCTTAAGTGAATGAGTAAATAAACTAATGTACAGCCTGAACTTAACGGCCGTGTAATTTTGAATAGATGTTCAGTGTTTTCTATTTTCCAAAATGTAACTTTTACCTTTTCTTCTGACTTCTCTAGTTTAATATGTTAGCTAAGTTATGAAATAAAAAAATTAGAAACAGAAGTTGAGCAAAGCAAGTGTACTTAGCACAGCTTTGTATTTGTCAATATCTTTACACACTAAAGTGTTGACAACTTAGGCATGATTTTATAGGGACCCCTTCAAATACTCCACCGCTTTCCTTACTCCTCTCTTCTCTCTTTCTCCTCTTCATTTGCACCTTCTGTATGTGACAACAATTTTGAAAACCAGTGTGTTGGAGAAAAGGTAATAGAAATAAAATGAGAATCTGGTTTGAAAAGAGTAAGTATTTTATAATCTGTAGTATAAATTCTATTAGCCTAGATAAACTGTGTCCAATCTAAAATACCAAGAGGTTTAAGTTAGACACAATTGAAAATGAGTATCAGTATTTAAGTAATAATGACATTTTCTTAGTGTTAATTTATCTTCTCAGTGTTATCCACTGTGAGACCCAACTTCCTAAGAAAATCTGAAAACTTTATCTACCATTTCAAAGTAATCTTTTAATCCCCTTAACATTTTATAATAGGCTATCATAATGGATTTTGCTAAGCTTTCCACTGATGTGGTGCCGGTAAACTTAGAGTGCTTTCTGCTTTAGAGCAGACCAGTGATTGCAAGATGGACAGAATCCCAGGCAGTTAAGTGGCAGATAGTCGTCACGTTCTGCTTTCTTTTATGTCTCTTATACTTTAATAATATGTGTTATTAGTATTCTCTTCAAGATGTCATTTCTCTTTAGAAATATTTTAAGTGACTTCATTTTGTGAGGAATAATCTAGATAATATAATCTATAAACCCATTTCGTTAAATGTCTGTAATATAGTGACATTAAATGGAGAACTGAAGGGCCCCTCGTGAAACACTGAGTTGTGGTACCTCCCACCTTTCCAGCAGGAGGCTTCATGTCCCATTCAGGATGTATGACCTGCTCACATAGAGACTGAGTGAGATTTCTAGTGTCAGTTTGCTCTCAAATATCAGTAAGACCTATTTCTCTTATTAAATAATAAATAGAAGTAGAAGATGCTTGAACCAACTTGTAATGGAGAACCTCACCATTTCGAGGACTGTACCCCAACTCCTTATCCTCAGCTTTGTTGTCCACATAGCCTCCCAATACCTGCCTTAGATTTAGAATCTCCCTCATCCCTCTTTACGTTTGGTTTTTGAGTTGGTAGCCCTTCACCCAGTGGCCAGCATTATCTCCCCTTCCTAATACACTGTTTGCATCTCACGTGGGGGCTTGTGGAGGATGGGTGATGGTGTGATGGTGTCCTGGAACATACAACCAGAGGAAAGCCTTGACAAAGATAACCTTAATTTCTTCCATTTCTGATGACCAGATTTACGCTTCAGTCTTGTCAAAGTCACAACAAGACAAAGATGTCTGATATTACTACTACTGTTTTGTATTTTCCTGCAAGTAATTAAAAGTAAAAAAAAAAACAAAATACAAAGGACATTAGCAAAACAGCTGAATATGAGGCTTCAGACTTTTCTTCTTCCTACAGGTGCACGGAATAAACAGCTACATGCAGATCAGTTCCCTTGGAGAGAAAATACAGAAACAAGTTGAGTGAATTCTACATGTAGGATGACTGAGAAAATACCCACGTTGAAATGAGTAGGAAAAGCATCGATGCCATAACCTCCATAGTAGCTCCTTACATTCAGGAAGGAGCCCCCAGCTGCCAGCCTCTCCCTGAAGAGCAAAGGGGTGGGACCACAGATCTCCTCAACTTTCATGGCTGCTACCCAGGGGACCAGCTTCCAAATCACTCGCTCTGAGAGCCAGTGGGAATCAGCATTTGTGAGGCAGTTTTGCACAGAAGTGCAGGCACTTACCATGGCCATCCCCCTGGGCTCAACACAGAGGAAGCAGGCTAAAACACAAGGTTACCAGTTTCTCCCTGGAAGGGGTTCACCTGCATACTTTCCTCATTGCTGCCCAAGGGTTGCGCTTCTCACCAGCCTGCATCTGGAAGCTGATTGTGTTCCTCGGGGAGCCTGAAAGGGCTTGTGGGCACTTCCATCCCCTTCGCTCCCCTCACTCACTCCAGTGATAAAAGCAAGTGTTCATCTTCTTTCTGGAAAGAGCTGCTCCGTATATCTAGCACCCCCCAACTTTTATGGCTACCACTTGAGGGACTGGCTCCCAAGTCTTAGAGAACCTAAAGGGCTCGAAACTCTCAAGTCCCCATTCACCACAGAATACAAACAGGTGATGTCTAACATATGGGTGACCAGCACAGAGGGAGCAGGCAAAAACACAAGACTCCCCTGTTTCCCCTAGAAGGAATTTGACTGCATACTTTTTCAGCGGCTGCCTAATGGTTCTAATTAGCCTGCATCTGAGAACTAATAGGGCACACAATTAGTAGTCCCATGGGACCCTGAATGACCATGTGGAAATAAATGTTCCATGTCTTCTCCCCCTGGCTTACCCCAGTGAAAAAACCAGGGGAGATAAGTGATTTACGTGCCAGATAATTCAAAATCATTATAAAGCTGCTCACTGAGGTCAGGAGAGCAATGCAGGAGCACTGTGAGAATTTCAACAGGAGGAGGAAATATAAAAATTCTAAAAAGAAATCATATGTTACTAAAAATTCAAAAGAAGTGTTCAACAACAGACTAGATCAAACAGAAGAAAAGATAAATGAATTTGAAGATAGCTCACTGGACTCAAACAATCAGAGGAGCACAAAGAACAAAAAAGAGTGAAGATAGGGAGGGAGATGATACATTCAAAATTCTGAAAGAACTCATGAAAGAAAGAAAACTACCAACCAAGAATACTCTTTCTGGCCAAGTTGTCCTTCAGAATTGAAGGAGGGATAAAGATACTCTGAAACAAACAAAGATAAAGGGGTTCATCTTCACTAAACCTGCCCAACAAGAAATACTAGAAGGAGTTCTTTAATGAAATTGAAATTAAATGCTCTATTACATTCTTAAAAGATTAAGAGGGTAGATGTCATGTTAAGTATTCTTACCACAATGTAATAAAATTAATAAAGTTTAAAAAAAAGATTGAGTATGAATTAACTAAGCATCAACTCAAGAAGAGAAAGGCCAACAAAGAATTCCCAAAGAAAGTAGAAGGAAGGAAAAAATAAAATGCAGCTATTAATATAGATAGAATTGAAAAAAATAAATAAGAAGACTGAACTCAATAATAAAGAAATAAAAATTTAAAAATAAAAATAAAATAAAAATTGTTTAAATTTAAAAATAAAATTTTAAATTTAAAAAAATAAAAAATAAGTAAAAATGAATAAATAAGAAGACTGAAACTCTGGTTGTTTACAAAACTCTGACAAGATAAATGAATTGAAAAAAATGGTATAAACAAATTCAGAGTGAAAGAACATACTGAGAGGTACAGTAGTTACCCTGGAATTCTTTTTTGTGTGTGTATTCTCAAAGAAACTTTTATTGTTTGCAAATTTAAAATTCATTACAAGAAAAATTCTCAGTTTGTTTCATGACAGATTGGAGAAAATAAGCAAATATTCGTATTTGTGCAAATCTTCTAGAGAATGCTTCTACATGATTCATAATGTTCTATCAGTTTTACTAATTTATGGTTTTTTAAACTATTTTTAATTTTTCATTTTTTAGTTATGAGAGATTTCCAGTATAGAGAAAACATGAAATACCTATGTACTCACTGCATGGACTTAGCAGATAGTAACATTTTGTTCTGTTTGCTTCTGGTTGCTTAATTTTTTTGGTTGAAATATAATTGACTTATTAGCTTCAAGTGTACAACATAGTGATTCAATATTTTTATAGATTATACTCCATTTAAAGTTACTATAAAATACTAGCCATATTCCCTGTGCTGTACGTGTACAATCTATCCTTGTCGGTTATTTATTTTATACATAGTAGTTTGTGCCTCTTTAGAATTCTTAAATGTTTGACAAAATTAGAAATTCCTCCCTTAAGCAAACTTACCAATAAAGGAGGATATTCTATATCTCATTTTATGAGACCATTTTAATCTTGATATCAAAACCAGAAAGACAAAAGGGGAAAAATGAAAGTAATAGACGAGTCTCACCTATAAACACGTATATGAACAAATCTTATATAATTATTAATAAACTGAACGCAATAATATATGTTAAAGAAAAAAATCTTATGACATGACCATATAGCGTTTACCCAGAGTGCAAGTGGGTTTATCATTAATAAATTCATTAACACAACTTACCTGATTCACAGATTAAAAAGAAAAATCTTATATTCACCTCAGTATTCAGAAAAGCATTTGATAAAATTCAACACCACTTCATGTTTAACCCCCCTCAAAATACTCTTAGTAAACTGGTAATTGAAGGAAAACTACTTTTTATTATCTTTTAATGGTTTCTACAAAAAACATGCATATATATTTGACTTTATCATCAAATAATAGAATCATTGTCTTTAAAATTAGGGAAAAATAAGTCCACTGTCATGGCTTCCATATTATACGTGTCCTAGCCAGCGTAGTAGAGAAGACAGAAGGATTGGAAATAAAAGAAAAAAAGCTGTTACACACACACACACACACACACACACGATGAAGTTACACCAAATGTGAAGTGAAGTGAAAAACAGTGCCTTGCCCAAGGATGTACAGCTGGTGATTAGCAGAGCCAGGAATTCACATGTAATTTGGCTCCAAAGTCTGGACTCAAGAAATTTCTGCTCTACTGTCTAGTGACCCATAGAGTAGAGAAAAAGACTTCACTTCAACTGCAGTCTAAAATGCAGAGTTATTCCTCATGAATATCCTCACCAATTAAAGAATTAACCAAATTTTAAATATATATATATCATTAGCAAAATTTTATATTTGTCTTCCTTTAGATTTTGTTCTTCCTGTTTTTAAATTTTTCCACTCTTTCAATACAATAAATCGTGCACAGTGAATATTGTTGGTTTTGCAATGTATAGGTTAGTCTCTTTTACGTTTATTTTCTCTGGATACATTCACATGAGTGGGATTAATAGGTCAAAAATTGTGAACTATGCCTATTGGAATACATTGGCAAATTTTTTTCTAAAGCACTTTGTAGTGACCATGCGAAGGTATGTGATAAGTGAGTTTCTAAATATATAATTAACTCAGAATTAAGAACTGCTTCAAATGGCACTTCTACTTGAATAGTAGTGTTCTACTAATTTATTAATATGGTATCTCTAAGTCTTTTTTGAAAAATAGTTTTTGTATTGCAAATTAAGACTGCTAATAATTAGTTTTACTTGTATTTCAGTTATATTAATTATTTTTAGTATGCACATTATTATTCTTGAAGCTAGTAGTTTGGGACTTAATCGTATAATTCTAACTTTTTTATGTGTTTAAAATTTTCATAATAAAAAAGCTCTGGAAAGTTTTTACTCATATCCCTTGAATTAATGGATAAAAGACCCCAAACTATATAAACAAAAGATTCCTTTAATTTTTAACAATAAATTCCAAATTTTCATATGGTTAAATAATTGCTACATTTTATATACATCATATAGCCAGCAGGCAGTACAGTCTCCTGGGTAAGATCACAGAATTTGCAGGGGAGGGAAACCTGTCTGCATTTAAAGCCCAACTCTACCATATACTAGACCTGGAACCTTAAACAAATTACTTTTCTTAGCTTTCCTTTTCCCCCTAAAAGTGGTCATATTAAGGTTGTGAAGACTATGTAAGCCATGTGCATAAGGCACTTAGAATAATGTCTGCCTCATAGCACTGAATGAGATTTCATTTTTATTACGGCAGAAGCATTGGATATCTACCAGCTTTGTACTAATAATAGTACAATAGGTATTACAGTTAACTTCTACTATTCTTCTACTATATCAGACTTTTCTTCTTTTTAATTTTGGAGCATTTGTGACCAGAGTGATTGAGGCTTCTATTTTGTTCTTTTGTTTCTGGATAGGTGGAAACGTAACATGTTCAACGAGTGTAGTCTTTATAGGATAGAGAGGGGGTAGTCAAGGTATTGGGGAGCTTATCGGGAAGGGACCGAAGCCGGGGCACCTTTCAGGGGCCTGGAAAGAAGTGTTTGTTCTTGGTTTCCCAGAGCGATGCGGTTCGAGATTCTCCCAGGGCTTGCCGTCATGGCCGCGTGCTTGTCCATCCTGGGAATGGCCACTGCACACGTCCACAGGTTCAGTAACGGGGCAAGGAAAAAAGGATTGCCCGTTATCCATATCAGAGGAGTTTGATGGAAAGAGATAGATGTATCTCTGGAGTTAATCATTACTATGTGTCAAAGGGTTTGGAGAACATTGATTAACAAGGCACTTTTCCTGATGAAAAATAACTCAGTTATGCTTGTCCTACTCTTGCTAGAAGGTTATGTAGTGTATTGTGTAGCATACAGTGTATTATGTAGTACATAATAAAAATAAAACAGTAGAATCGGAAAAAAAAGATATTGCGGGTTAGGGTATGGCTAGTGGTAGAGTGCACACTTAGCATGCATGAGGTCCTGAGTTCAATCCCCAGTCCCTCCATTAAAAAGATAAACAAATAAACCTAATTATCTCCCCTTTAAACAAATTTTTAAAAATTAAAAAAAAAGAAGGTATCAAAGAGCTATTTCTCAGAATTTGGCTGGAATTTTTTCTCCTTACACTCTCAAATCCTTATTCTTTTTTTGTTTTGCTTTGTTTTAACTGAAGTATAGTCAGTTACAATGTGTCAATTTCTGGTATACAGCACAGTGTCCCAGTCATGCATATACGTACATATATTCATTTTCATATTTTTCAAATGTTTATTCTTTTATTTTCCTCTGATTTATTTTCCAGATTGAATGCATTTATGGAAAAAGAAAAAGAAAAATTAGATAGTAAGATAATAGTAGAAGAGTGTAATACTGCAATGGAGTCCTCTGTGGAAAACAAGAAGTATGTAAACAAAATGTGGGTTCAGTGTGAGAATGAAAGTTGTTTGAAATGGAGATTGTTGTCAAGTGAGGATGCAGCCAGAGTTGACCACAGTGAACCATGGTACTGCTTCATGAACACCGACTCAAGGTATAATAAGTGCTCTGTTTCTGAAGAAGACTTTCCCGAAGAGTCCCAGCTTCATGAGAGTGGATTTAAGATCGTCTATTCACAGCTCCCACTTGGAAGCCTGGTTTTGGTCAAATTACAGAATTGGCCAAGGTAAGGTTTTTGTTGTTGTTTTATAGTAAACTGTTGAGGGATAGTCTTGCTAAGTTTATTAATTTTCAAAACTTCTCAAAGGTAACTTTTTCTCTATTGTTTGTGTGGTTTCTTATTTATTGTTTTCTGATCTCACTGTTCTTTCCCTGATTTCTTTGGGTTTAATTCTTCTTTTTCTGGTTTCTTACATTGGAAACTTAGATAACTGATTCAAATCTTTTTTCCTCCTGATACAGGCAATTAAAGCTATAAATTTTTAAGTACTACTTTAGCTAAGTCCCACAAATTTTCGTATGTTGTATTTTATTACTATTCAGCTTGTGATTTCTTCTTTGGAATGAGTTATTAGAAGTGTGTTTTTAAATCACTAAATATCTGGAGTTTTAAAATACCTTATGGTTATTGATTTCTTATTTAAATGTATTGTAGTCAATTTCATTGAATCTTATTTTATGGCTCAGCATGGCCTATCTTGAAAAAAAAAGTGTATTCTGTAATTGTTCCCTAGGTACCTAAAAGATTTGTTTTTTTTTCTTTAGATTTTTGTATGTATACTATTGTATAGCTCAATGTTTCCTGCTCAGAGTTGATTTTCCCAAATATGCAGTGTATATTTTCAGCATGAGCTTTCAAGTCTTTTTATTTCAATTAAGTTTTTTTTAATTGAAGTACAGTCAGTTACAATATGTCAGTTTCTGGTGTACAGCACAATGTCCCAGTCATGCATATATATACATATATTCATTTTCATATTCTTTTTCATTAAAGGTTATTACAAGATATTGGACATAGTTCCCTGTGCTATAGAGAATAAACTTTTTTAAAATCTATTTTTATATATAGTGGCTAACATTTGTAAATCTCAAACTCCCAAGTTTTTTTTTTAATTGTAAGCAGTTTATTCTGTTCATTGCTTTGATTTTATTTTGGGACTCCTGTATTACTTATGGTGGATCTTCTTTGGTTATCTTTGGTACTACTTTTTCTTCAACTGTATTCATCTTTTCATTTTTTAAAATTCAAATATTTTTTCCCCTTCCAGCTTTTATTTTTCTAAAGGAACTACCAATAGAACTCATTTTTTTCTTGTATTCCATTCAGTTTAGTCTTTACTGAAAACTGTAAAATTTCTTTCATGAGTTTTGCCACCTATCTTTTTAAATCTTCCTTTTCTCCCATCATCTTATTTTCATTTATTTTCACCTTTTCTCCATGAAAAATGTAAGATGTTTGCTCTCATGGGGAGACTGATGAGCTTGTTCTAACACACACACGAGAGGCTTCAAGTCATTACCTAGATTTGTGTTCTTACTCTGTCACGTACTGTTGCTGGATAAATTGTGTTCCCCTAAAAGTCGTGCATTACACCTCTGACCTCCGAATGTGACTGTATTTGGAGGAAGGGCTCTTAAAGAGATGATTAAGTTACAGCAAGCCATTAGAGTGGGCCCTAATGTCATCTGACTGGTGTTCTTGTAAGAAGAGGAAATGTTGGGCACACAGAGAAACCCCAAGGATGCCTGTGCACAGAAGAGAGACCATGTGAAGTCGCCAAGAGGGCAGCCATCTGCAAGCCAAGGAGAGGCCACGAGATAAACCAGCTCTGCTAACACATTGATCTTGGACTTCTAGCCTTTAAAACTGTGAGAAAAAATTTTCTGTTATTTAAGCCACCCAATCTGTGGCATTTTCCTGTGGCAGTCTGAGCACACTGGTACACTGATATCTTTTCAGATGTGGAAATCTCTCTGAGATATGCACCTTTTGTTACCGAGAACTCTTGTAGGGGTTAAATGTGAAATGTTCACACATATATACAGATATATATATAATTGACTTATGTGTAATAATTAGGATGGGCATGAGGAGGAACTAGATAGTTATGTAAGGACAAATATTTTTAAAAGACATCAATGTAAACACACATTTTTGAAGTTAGTTATGAAGGTATTTGTAGTCCCCTGTCATTTTTCATATCTCAGATGAACATTTTGGAAGCAGACCATTTGTATTTTCTAATGGAAGTTCTGAAGGTTCAGTTAACTCTACTTCAGGAAATGGATTTGAATCTTTTCATTGTATCTGAAATTTTATGTTAGAAATTTGATTAGGAATTTCTTCTGCAGTTTTGTGCTTGTAACTGCGGGTTAGGATTTGAAATACAAATGAAGAATATTTTAGTCTAGTCCCTAAGTTATTTCTAATCTCTGATTAGGACCATCAGAATGCCCCCAAATACAGCTGTATCTCTGTTCTTGATTACTGGAAAGAACGGAAAGCATTTGGCTACGTGCTCACATGTATTCCTCTTTATGAACTAAGTACAGATGAACACAGACTTAAAATACAGACTAAGAAACTCAAATCCACAGCTGTATGGCTTATCCAGTACCACAAATACATAGAAAGATGCTAACAGAATAAATTTCAGTCATAGAGTATAAGGACAGAATTGATCTACTAAAGAAAAACAGCCAAACATCAGCTCTTAATTAGGAAATGTTAGAGAGGCTGAAATTTCAAGCGAAAAGACCAGTCAGCTGGCTACAGAGACACTTAGTAGTGTCGCATTACCGGGGTCCCTTCTTGTTAGTGCATGGCCTCACACTTAGCTTCGAAGGCTCAGAACCTCAATCTTGTCAACATCTCAGAGGTATTTTTTTCTCGGAAGAATTCACCCTCTCCAATAAAGCTAAAAAGCTAGAGAGGCTTATACAGAATGAAGCAATGCCTGTTTAATCTTTTTGTTTGTTTGTTTGTTTGAACTTTTTTTTACTGAGTTATAGTCATTTTACAATGTTGTGTTAAAATTCCAGTGTAGAGCACAATTTTTCAGTTATACATGAACATACATATATTCATTGCCACATTTTTTTTCACTATGAGCTACCATAAGATCTTGTATATATTTCCCTGCGCTATACAGTATAATCTTGTTTATCTATTCTACATTTTGAAATCCCAGTCTGTCCCTTCCCACTCCTCTCCTCCTTGGCAACCACAAGTCTGTATTCTATGTCTATGAGTCTGTTTCTGTTTTGTATTTATGTTTTTTTTTTTTAGATTCCACATATGAGCAATCTCATATGGTATTTTTCTTTCTCTTTCTGGCTTACTTCACTTAGAATGACGTTCTCCAGGAACATCCATGTAGCTGCAAATGGCGTTATGTTGTCATTTTTTATGGATGAATAGCATTCCATTGTATAAATATACCACAACTTCTTTATCCAGTCATCTGTTGATGGACATTTAGTCTGTTTCCATGTCTTGGCTATTGTAAATATTGCTGCTATGAACATTGGGGGTGCAGGTGTCATTTTGAAGTAGGGTTCCTTCTGGATATATGCTCAGGAGCAGGATTCCTGGTTCATATGGTAAGTCTATTCCTAGTATTTTGAGAAATCTCCATACTGTTTTCCACAGTGGCTGCAGGAAACTGCATTCCCACCAGCAGTGCAGGAGGATTCCCCATTGATCAATTACATTGTATTGAGCTAGAAAGAGCACAGAAATTCAAAGTTAAAATAACAGTGTGTATCCCATGTGCATATCCCATATAGTGTAAGAAAAGGCATTGGTAAGGAGAAACAGGGCTCTATATAGGGCAGCTGCCTTGGGCATGTTTACATAGACATTTTACAAAGATTTCTCATAAATATGAAAGTTAATTTATAGAAAATGTATGCACATTCTAAATACTGTAGTCTGAACAGTTTAGTAATTAAATATGCCTGTAAGTTAATGAGCCAATCCAGTGATACTTTTTAAATATAGTGTATATACTTAAAAATTGAGATTTCTACTAGACCCTTTCAACATTATAAAATTTTATTTAATTACTTCTTACTTGCATTCTTCTGCCTATGGATTTATGTTCTTATAATGCGTGTGTATGTGTGTGAGTGGGAAATTTCCTCTCCCCATCAGCCCCTGCAGTTAGGTATACAGCAAGGAGATTCCTTGGCAAATATAACATGAAGTTAGTGGTAATTCCAACTCATCCATTTTCTTTTCCAGCGATTAGAAATGAGGCCCAAGTAAAATATTTGCTGTCTTCTTAAACATCTAGATCACAATTTGAAAATGAAAGTTATGTACTTCTCATTGGGTATAAATACCTGGCGACAGACACTGTGCTTAAGCTTCACCTTCTACTGAAGGCAATGGCTATCTTATTAAAGATCATATCCACTGGAGAAGGAATGTGTGAGTTTTTTTGCGATATGTTTTCAGTTCCTTTGAAGTTTCTTGTCCTACAAGTGGATTTCAACACCTGGTGTCTATTTGACCGTGACTTTTACATTTTACCTTCCACCACCCACCAGTTTTGAGACTGACCTTACACTGTCCTTGTATTTCTGATCCCCTTCTTTTGGGTGGCCTGCTCTAACTTTTCCTGTCCACCTTTAAGTCCCCAGACAACACTTACAGAATTTCTCCTCAATATGAAAGTGAAAAATCGGGAAGTAGAATGTTCAGTGCACTATCATCTCTGACAGTTTTGGAACTCAAATTGAGGTCAGAGGGAGGGCAAAAAATGGACTTCAACTTCTTTCTTCAATCACAGCAAGTCAGAGATGATGGATGTAGCAGGTAGGGGAAGTAATCACGCTTTCTGCATCTGTTGCCTCCACTCAGCTTTTCCTGCAGTTCGCTACATTCTGTTTTAGCTGAGATGTGTGAATTAGGAGTTAGAATTTCTTTGCACCACCTGAAAATGCCCCAGTTATTTGGACATTTGGTAATACTTTTCATAATTCATATTTAAATCAGCATGCAATATTTTCTTTAATATAATGTTTTTAAATAATGAACAGGAGGTGTTTTTCTTCTGTTGGCTTCTACTTCTTTTTAGGTGTCATCTCTTCTTATTTATATTTAATAGAGTAATGATTTAAATTGAGTACTCTTGGGCCCAATAGGGTTGACTTAAAAAATAGTTGTATCAGAATTTATGTCAGAACAGTAGTGGCTCATCTTATACATAATAACTGCAAAATATTTCATTCTTTAGTGTGTTAAGTGTTAGAAAAACTGTTAGAAAAGACTGTTTTACACCGAATGGAATAGGTGCTACTTATAATTTGGTACTGGTTGGCAGTGAGCCTTTTTTAAATCGCTGTGAGATCCAAACCACCTAGTATTAAACGTGAGCTCCCTACATTTTATAATGAGTTTAAACACATAATAATGTAACAGTCACATTTTCGTTGCTTTTAAAATAGCCATTGATCATGTTGAAGGAACGACTTGTTCCTCGACTTGTGATAAGGTGGGGGGGTCTCCGTTATAGTTACCGCTCAATCTTAGTCATTTATCTGCATGTTGAAGTCTTCTTCTCTTGAGTGGGTTCCTTCAGAAATGTAGGTTTCCACTGTAAGTTTAAAAGATAAACTGCCCCAAGTTTAACTCTTAAGCGCAGCTCAGAGTCGCCAAATAGCAATAAGATGCTGTGACATGAACCTGATAATAACCAGATGGTCTTCATTTAGGTCCTGAATTTTCACTTGACTTTCCATTATCATTTCCAGTTCTTCCAAATATCAGGCTGCTTTGGGTTCCAGATAGTCTGACTCAATTTTTAATTTTCTAGCCCTTCCTTTTCCATGATCCGGGGCTAGCAGTCAGCCAGCCCCCCATGTCTCCTTCCCAGCTCAGTGACCCAGGAGCTACAGGGTGCTGCTCAGCATTCAGAGAGCAGGTGCCTGCTCCATTCCGACACTCCCCCAAGTCACCACCTGCTGACAGCTGTCCTTGGGACTCAACTTCCTGGAATCTGTTTTTTTACATTAATAATAGTAAGCATGAAATATTTCCCTTAGTTTACATTGTTTTATCAATTTATATCTGTAAAGTCTTTTTATGGTTGGTTATGGAAGATACATTTCTATGTTTATGACTTTATAACTGTAATATAACTTTAATATCAAGGATAATTTAGCAGAAGATTAACAAGCTAGAGTCCTCAAATCCAGGCCATTTATAGATTTTGTATCTTTGTGATTTCAGATTCTTTATGACATGATTTACAGCTTCCTTTACATTTTAAAATTATCTAAGCATCTAATTTATCTAGTTTCTAAATAATTATGTAAATGAGGAAAAAACTTTCTATCACTCTTTCTACTTTTCACTTGTACCAGTTAATCTTACTTGATACATGATTGTATTGGTTTGCTAGGGTTGCCACAGACTGAGTGCCTTAAAATAGCAGAAATTTCTTTTCTCACAGTTCTGGGGGCTAAAAGTCTGAGGTAAGGTGTCAGCAGGGTTGACCTCTGAGGTCTCTCCTTGGCCTGTGGGTAGTCTCTCTTTCTGTGCCTTCTCGTGGTCTTCCCTCTGTGTGTGTCTGGGTCCTAATCTTCTCTTTTTATAGGAAAACTAGTCATGTTGGATCAGAGCCCACCTTTTAACTTAGTTACTTCCTTAAAGACCCTCTCTCCAAATACAGTCACATTCTGAGGCACTGGGGCTCGGGACTTCGACATATGACTTTGGACAGGGGTGGGGCTTGGTGGGATGACACAATTCAGACCATAATGATGGCACTTTGCAGTATTGCAATTTGCCAGGAAACGTATGTGCATAAAGCACGTGTTCGTTTGAGCTCTGAAGCAGCACAGCGAGGAGCCAGAGTCACGTTGACACCTGGTTACCCACTCGAGGCTTCCTGTTGGACTGAAGGCAGAGCTGGGGCCTGGATGCTTTATTTTGAACCGCACTATCTTTTTCGCTCTGTTGTGCTGCAAACTGAAGTAGAACTTGACAGTTGCACAGATTTTTGGATGTTTGAGTATATCAGATAGGCATATTTTGGATCGTGGGCTATAAAATTCAGTCAGTTCCCAGGGCCTTGGAGGAGGGCGCCCAGAGAGGGAAAATGCTTAATGTGTAAGAGGTTGCATTTTGGGTGCTTTAAGTGTTTTGGAACTAGACAGAAGTGGTGTTTGCACAACATTGTGAATGTACTGAATGCCACCGAGATGTTCATTTCAAAAATGGTTAATTTCTAGATTGTGGATTTCACCTCAGTAAAGTATTTAAATAAATAAATAATGAAATGCCCCCCAAAATAAAAACTGAAAAAAAAATAAAATTCAGTAAGATTTCTACTGTACATTCCTTAGTTCCAGCTTCCTGGTCTTACTTGCTGCCTTCCCTGCCTGCTTTCTCCTCTGCACAGTAGATCAGAGTCACGAAAGATTGGTAACAGGGCTAAAACTTAGTTGATGTATGTAGTATGTTTTTGCCAAATGGGAAAATGAAACATATCAAGGGATTTGTAGAGGTTTATGTCATGAAAGAACACACCCCTAAAGGATTTATGTTCAGTAAAGGATAAACCTTACTTCCAATACTGAGGATTTTTAGCGATTTGGTCATGGCCAGTGGGGCAGATTGGGTGGGGGTGGGAGGGTGGGGGGCGTTACAGAACTGCTGAGCGCTATTTCAACACTTTCCCCAGAGTCGTGACAATCTCCAGTGTCATCCTAGCCTAACCTACCAGAACCCCTTTGGCGGGCCTGGTTCATGAAACACTGGCTCTCTTCTGCCCTGTCAGAAGCCATGTCCTTGGGTTAACATTTGCATAATTAATCATTCTGACTGGTAAGACTTGATTCGAGCCTGCCATGAATCGGATGAATCCTTTAGTCTCTTATCTTTCCTATTAGCAATGCCTAAATGTCTCTCAGAGACCTTGGAAATCATTCTTTTGTCTTATAATTCTTTCTCCTCATATTTTATGAATATCTTAAGTATGTGACTATTTCAAAGCTTTCTGTATCTACAAAGATACAAATGATTACCTGCATCAATTGAATCTCCTACTTTAAAAAGATGAATATGTTTAAAATTCATGAAAAAGTTTTTAAAATTCAAAGGAGGAAATGTGAAATAAGATTGTGACATATATGTTAATGTCTGCCTTTTTTTAAAACATCAAAATAATTAAAAATATTTTCTTTCAAAAGCTGGCCAGGAATACTTTGCCCTGATCCTTTTAAAGGAAAATACGTGACTCATGACCAGGATGGAAATGTTGAGCAGTATCACGTGGAATTCCTGGGTGACCCCCATTCACGGTCATGGATCCAGGCAGCGTTTGTTGGACATTACAGTATCACATTAGAGGTAGGGGCAATAACATCAACGCCTTTGTTTTTAATTATGGCCATTTGTCTCAGATCCTCAAAGATACATAATTACCTACTTTCATATTTATGTACACAAAATGGTATATATTATTTGTTTAAACTCAAATATTTGTATTTTTAAATTTTATTTTATTGAATTATAGTCAGTTTATAAAGTTGTGTCAATTTCCAGTGTAGAGCACAGTTTTTCAGTTATACATGAACATACATATATTCATTGTCACATTCTTTCTCGCCGTGAGCTACCACAAGATCTTGTGTATATTTCCCTGTGCTATACAGTATAATCTTGTTTATCTATTCTACATATGCCTGTCAGTATCTACAAATTTCGAACTCCCAGTCTGTCCCTTCCAACCCCCCTCCTCCCTCAAATATTTGTATTTTAAAGTAGCTTTTTTTTAAAGGAAGTGTGGACATAAAAATACCCAGAGGATAGTTTTAAATTTTATTTCTCTAATGGCAATATAGTATAAGTCAACTGAAGACTTAATTGCCTTTTGAAACACTTTTAAGATTATCATTTGGTAATTTTTTAATTCTCTTGAGAAGTCTCTAAGTTGTAGCCCTAGCTCACAGGAAAAATTAATTATGGAATACAACCAGATTTTTCAAATTTCAAAGAGAATATTTCATTATACTAACTCCTTCAGTATTTTTGACTCTTTTTAAATTTTAAATCACACACTGCAATTAACAAGTAGGCTGAATTCTCAAGTTGGTGAGAGAAGTGAATTGGGGTTGTTTTCATGATTGGTTTAATTGTTACACATTAATCCAGTTATCTGTGTCTGTATTCTAATACTGAAACTTCATCTGCAAACCATGCTTCCATTAGAAATGTGATTAAAAAATAGATGTCAGAAATGTGAATGCCTCTGAATCAATTTGGATGATTTCTATTTTATAGTGAGAAGTATATATATATATATATATATGAAAATATACAGACAGACGTATTACCTTTAAGGCATGCCATTGAATCCACAGTGTGAGTAAACTGGTGGAAATTTGAGGCACTTTCCGGTGAACTATTACTGTGTCTCTGGCATAAACAGCATCTTTGTTCTATTCAGCCTGAAAGCAGCTGGCAAGGAAGGCTCTTGCAGTAAAAATCTTTAGGTGTGGAATGACATGACTTACATTCGTCTCACGGTAGTTGTGAGCCAGTCACCTTCGTGGGAGGCACCTTCTCTGCTCTGCCACTTTGGATGTGCTCCTGCTGGCAGCCACAGAAGACAGGAAGGCATGTCCTCCCTTCTGTGCCCCTCCCCTTTTCTAAAAGGTAGGGAAGCCGCCTAGCTTCTCGTGAAGCGGACCTCAGAATCTGAAATAGTTGACAGTGTGATAAAGAGCAGGGCATTCTGCAGAAATCCTATTTAAATATGTACAAAAAAATCAAAATGTATTTTTACATCATCTGAACTAGCGTTACTCTCAGGAGTTGAGTTCTGTCGGGATAAATTTGAGTAGTCTGATTGCAGGGAGCCCACCATTCATTCCTGGGACAAGGGAAAAAATCTGATGCCAAACAAAAGTAAATTCAAGAATCAGGAGCCGTAAGTTTTCAACCTTCGGAAAGCATGAAATCAGACTTAGAAATTCTTGCAAAGACCCGGGAATTCAGGGCTGCTTAAATTAAGCAGCCTCCTAAAGCAAGAATGAGGACAGAAAAAAATTAAGTGTATGTTTCACCCACTCCCCCGACTGGCTGGGTGCTCTGGGTGGATGAGTCACTGGGTGCCCGCGGACTCAGCGCAGGCTCTCCTCCGTGCTGTCATGCGGGGTACTTGTCCCTTATTCTCTCCTCATCCGTATCTTCTTTACTTCCTCACTTGGAGCTGATATAATAGTGGCACCTTCTTCTGTGGGCCTCTTCATCCAAGGCCACAGTTTCTGCTCCCTTTTCTCTCACATTCAGCCGCCGCCCGCCAGACCGTCCTGCTGTGCTCCGGCTCCCTATTCCCAGCTGTGTCAGGCTCTCCACTTGCCAGGAAGGAGAGACTCACCCATGACGGGAGCCTCACTGCCCCAGTGAGAAGTCAAGAAAGCAAAGAGGTCAACTCAGGAGATACTGGCAACCAAGATCGAAAGATGGTCCACAATGATACATACAGAAATTGTTTGAAAATGAATAATATCACACTGCGTCTAACCCAGGGATGGCTGAGATGTCTCTGTCCCTTGGAGATGGAGATAGTATTGACTTCAGCCTACAGTTCTGTGCCTAGACTTCCCAGGAATTTAATCTCCCATAGTCCTCTCTGCACTGGAGCGCCTGCATCCTCAAATGCTGTCTCTGCAGCGAACCACATTGATACGGGTATTCAGTTCACACCCCCACCCCACAGAAAAGATCACTTACACAAAAAGAATGTATAGGAGGGTGTAGACTTTAAAAATTTTTTTTGAGATGGGAGAGTTTACTTATTAATTTATTTTTAGAGGAAGTACTGGAGATTGAACGCAGCATCTTGTGTATGCTAAGCATGTGGTCTACCGCTTGACCTGTATCCTCCCCGCAGTGTAGACTTTCTTAAAGATTTTTGTAGAAGAGAGGAGGGAGACACCCATTGTCTGAGCTGCTTTTCTAAAAGTAGACAAAGAATGGTAGGCATGCATGGCTCTCAGTGCTTAAGCTGACTTCATATATTATCTCAACATCATTTTCTCCTAATGTGAGCAAGCTTAGTTTAACAAGTGATTAAATACTATTTCAGGGTTTTCACTGACTATGGCTTATCTTTATTTTGCAGTATGTTTTACAGTGGGAGAGAAATAAGCTCTTCTAGAAAGACATTATATGCAGTTATGAGAAAATACGGTATTTTTTAAGTTTTAAATTCTGAAAATGTTCGTATTTGTCTCTCTTTTTTTTTTCTTTTGAGTAGTCACCCTAGGTGATATATTTAGGGGACCCCCCAACTTAACTTATTTTATTGTTGAAAAGAAAACAGAGCTCTGTCACTATCTATTCATACAGGTGATAGATAAGCTTTTCCCCAATAAATAAAATCACTCGTAGATACTCTAGGATGTACTTTAGAAACGTTGAAGGCAATATTTAGATTGTGTATTTGTAATTTATATTAGTTCACTCATACATTTTATTTTTTTCACTTACTAGAAGATCAGTAGTATAAAGAGCTGAAATTCCCTTCCCCCTTTTAAAGAAACCTTGATTCTCTTATAGTATATATTCAAAATAGATGTCACTCTGGTAATTACTCAGAGAAAATAGCCATGAATATATGCTGGGTACCTGTTTATTTTAAGAAGTGATGGATGGAATACAGTTCTTTCCCCAATGAGCACAAATGTTGTTTTCTTTTGTATTTAGTAGGTGCTGGTCTGCAGAACCCATTATTTGCAAGTTTACTTTTTGTTTGATAGACTGCATGACTTGGTTTAGCATTTCTGAAGCCTGGCTTTGCATTCAAAGGCTTTACAAAACAGTAACAACAACAAAAGGACAACCAAAACAAAGCAATGCCTGGGCTTCACTGGACTCCACTCCACTGGATCCATTAAATCAGCTCTGGGAGGAGGGCCAGCCAGGCCTTAGTAGTTTTAAGTCCCTCAAATGAATCTCATGTGCATCCCAGAGAGAGAGAACCACTGACCACATTTTCTCAACCTGAGGTGTCAGAGTTTTCTGGTTTTATCCCCTCTAGTGTAGGGACGCAGCGGTGGCGGCGGCTTCCTGTCTCACTTTGCTTTTCTCCTGATTCCTTTGTTAGTCGTTCACTTCCTTTCGCCTGGGAATGATGCTTGCTGCACTGGGTTCACGTGTCTCACCCAGTAGTAACAGCCTCATTGAAAACAGCTTTCAAGTCATTCTTGTCATTCAGCAGTATACATAATCTATTGCTGGTAAATTGCTGATGTATAATTTGAAACTTAATACTCCTAGTGTCTTTAAGTTGATCATCTATCTTACAGGTTACATAGAGTCATTTTAATTTTTATTAGACATAGGTTAGGTACTCCAACCAATGATTGCTTGGCCTACCCTTTTCTGGTTCTTTATATTGTCAAGAAAATGTTAGTAGTTCACTCATGATGCTATGATGCTCCTGTTGGATTCTTTTGGTCCATGATGTGAATGGATTTTTTTTGTTGTTGTTGTTATATATTTTAATAGACTGCCCTCTACTGTATGTAGTATATACCTGCAGATATGCAGCCATTTCTTGGGGTACCAGATGTTGTTTGGGTATTTACCCATTGTAATACGAAGTTGCCTGTATTTTCCAGTGAGATGAGAAGGGAGCAATACCGTATTGCTAAACCTGAGCTCTGCAACTTCTGGAACTCTGCTTCCTAATTAGGGTGGTCGTGAGTGCTGTTCACCAAGTTTTTCCAGGTTTCTGCCTTCCTGTTATAAAGTAGAGCTGCATGTGTGGAGCTCTTGTGGTGGGGTGAGGCCGACGAGTTTCAGTGAATGATCAATATCTGAGCATGTGCCTGGGTCCAGAGCACCATCCTCCAGAGTCCTCTCCTCTGTGGCTCCATGACTGATAATGTTTGAATGTTGGTTCCCTACCCTGGATCACTCTTAGCAAAAGCCCGTGCTGCCAACGAGTAACAGATATGCAGCATGAAGAAGACACAGGCCTCATGTTGAGCCCCTAGGATTATTCTAACAGACATACTAATAATAGTGCAGAGGATGTCACCCTTCTTTGTAACCTGTATCTTCAGAAATACCACTCCTGAAGTTTCAGCACTCCTGAGAAGGCAGCCAAGTGACTGAAATCACATTACCCTCATTCCCGCAGTCTGTGAATAGAAATAACACAACTTGTTATCCTATAGTAGTTTATCAAGTAAGTTGATTTCTTTTCTGTGCAACGATAAACATAGAGTAGAAATTACCAGCATTGATGAGACACTGAATATAAATTTGGTCTGGTAAATATCCTCCAGCACAGAGCTCTGATGTCAGTGTGCACTGCCCTGACTCCAGTAACTCAG